CAGTTATTGAAGCTAGATATTCCTTACAACACTAGTGTTAATTTTTTAAGGTTGATTTCCTACTTTTATTTTCAAAAGATAAACACTGTAGTAAATTAATTAATATATTTTATAGATAAGTAATAATATCAATTAATACACTTAGTGTATCTTTTACAAACTGAAAAAAATATGATCATAGAAACATAGACCATCCAATTTGTAAATGTTTTTAATGTCTTTAACAGAAAATGAATGTTAGGTTGGATTTATAGAATATTTTTCAATTTTTTCCAAATTTTCTTCTATGAAAATGTGGTTTTAATGTCAGAAAAGTTATTTAAGTTAGGAAATCATTTTGTATTTTACCTTGTCTATATTACTAATTCAAATGAGGGTGGCAATTGGAATAAGTTAGAAATGTATACCTACATTGAGTGAACAGAAATCAGAGTAGTAAAAAAAGGATTTATCTATCATATCTTAAGACAAATTAATATAGTAAAAGAATAACTATAATCTCTCTAAATAGACTATTCTAATGACTATTTGTAATCGAAAACGTTAGTTTTACCACTGTTATCTAAGATATTAGTAGAATGTATTGCTCAGAGATTTTAAGCATTTCATTTGCATAGTCACTTATGTTGTTATTTACATACAGCTCTCGAGTTGCATCTTGCAACGTTGTGTATCCATGGGAAACAAAGTCAAGTCCAAAGGGCATGAAAGAGTAATAGATAACCTGAAAGCAGAAAAAGGGGTCTTAGAAATCATTTAATATACTTTTCTATGATCCACTGACTTTAAAAGGAAAACATAAACACACAAATATTAATTATAAAACAGTACCTCATGCTGACAAGAACATCTCCATCCCGAAAAATAAAGAGGAGGATATTTTCCTGGGTTACATCATGAAAATTGGCACTTTTTTCATTTGCAAAAAATAAATCAGGTTTCCACAAACACTTATACATCGTGGGATCCACTGTCAGGGCATCTGAGCCCCTAAAATCACTAGGAAGCTTCAGTCTGGGATCATTCCATTTTTGTCTCAGGAAGATGTTAACTCTGTAGTCCTGGAAAGAAACATATATGTGTGCATATGTATGTTTACTGCTATTTTTATTCAGCCCCAGAATAAAAAGGGCTTCAATAACTAGCAACACAAATATTTTTGCTTTTCCAACATCAACCAGGATTACTACAGCTCCGTCACTAAATGAGAGCTTCATTAGAAGTATAAAAAGACCTTGTCTCTATCTAATTACTCTCTACAGATATTCCATAGCACTTGCTAGCTCTAATGTCAGAATATAACCTTATGGATAATTGCTTTACCTTTATACCAACACCAACTATTACAATTGGTTAGGTGGCAATATCACAAAAGCATGAGAACTGATAAATATTACCATCATTCCTCCCCAAAAAAGAATAAAATTTACTTTAGAATAGATAAGAGGCAAAGGGAACTATTTCTATTTGTCTTTTACTAAGTAGCACACTACAAAAAAGTTACATAAATACATAAACACACACACGCATGCACACACACGCATGCACATATATTCTTGAGAAAATAAAAGAAAAACTATCCTTGACTACTTACACATGTAAATGACTATATATAGAAAGTTTGAGATCATCATATGAGATTTGAATATGCAAAACAGATCAAAGTAGATGCAAAATTTAT